GACCACTCAGTGTATTTGCTCACTCTGAATTCTTAACGATTTGACAATGAAACGCAGCCATTTGAGTCTAAAAGCTAAATTACAGCCCTTTCTGAGGAAAAGTATTTGTAGAATGAGGTTGCTAAATGATGTAGAGCCAAACAACACAATATTTTGAAAACAAAGGAGCTCTCAATGTTCTCCATAAAAGCAGAAAATGTTTCACAGCAAACTGTTTAGGACAGTAAAGGGGTTCGAAATATATCCTTAGAACAATCTGTCGCAATACCATAATCTCAAAAGAGAAGTTTGTGGTTACGAAAGTGGACCCTCCGACTCAAAAAAATCTTAATAGTCAACAAAATTCAATCCACACCTCAAAGTCGACGAATGTTTTTATGAAAAAGATGGCCGAAGATACTGAAATCACATTAATTCAATTTGGTCAAATCCTTGTTATGCTACTCCAAAGGACATTTATGCCTCTTGTCAGTTTGAATGTAGTCTTAAAAGCCGATTTCCGTCTACAGAGGAAAATTTGTGTAGAACATGTTAAGATACATGGTACAAGACTGACCTCACCATCTTTCACAGAAATTGTTACAAAGGAGAATGTTATGTCAGGCAACAAAACGTAAGCATGGCCATCGGACTGAATAGATCAAAGATGGAGGAAGTTGTCCTAAAGGCAACACAAGACGACGACGATGGCATAATAGGAATTTAGGTTAAAAGTATATTTCATTCCTCGAAGGGGAATGAAATATAACCAGGGGTGGTCAGAAACTTTTGTTTCTCTAATTAAAATTAAGTGGCCGGGGCTTTTAAGAATTAAATGCTTACATGAGTAAAGATCTTAACAGTTTATTTTACTAGTGACGAATTCACAAGTTGAGGGAAGAGCTATGAGGAAACGTGGAAAGAAGAGAAAGAAGGAGACCTTTGCTGAGTTGTGTATTATCTTCGGGTGTTTTCTTTCTTTTGGCGGGACCTGTAGTCGGATGACCTCGTGGCGTCGGACATTGCAGAGCTGAGTGGTGTAGAGCAGAGCAGGGAGATGCAGATCGAATGCGTCCGTTGTTGTCTAAAATGTTGAGAGTAAACTAATTAAAGAATATTAGCTAGCAATTGAGGATAAGGATTTTAGTATTTTAACATTAGCAGATAACTATAGTGTTACATCTAGCCTGAGATGGTCCTTTTCAGGGCTGGGATCTAGTGATTCAAAGCATGAGGAAAAATTGTGCTGTGGGGGGGAGGGAGTACCCCGTGAAAACCCACTTTCATGGCCAGGGCGCAGTCATCAGTATGGGTAAATTTCTCACTCAAACAACCACTTCCTACGCGACGTACCTCGACTCCTTCCATATCGTAGAAAACGATTATGAAACGGCCTTCAACTCCGAAGGTGCAATGAGCCGCAGGGACCCACGGTAGGACACGCTGGATTTCCAAAGCTCGTGCACAGCTTTAAACAGAACTAGCTACCTGTATCTTGCCACCGTGACCTCTCCCCGTAAAAAACCACCATCCCGGGAGGCGATTATGAAACGGCCTTCAACTCCGAAGGCGCAGTGAGCCGCATGTCCCACGGTAGGACTCGCTGGATTTCCAGTTCAATTACCCAATTTTACGTCAGGGTCGATGCTTTCTCGATAGATGCCTATAGAGTCATAGTCATAGTTCGTAATAGCTTCTGCCGTTTCCCATGCTTGGTTGAATTTCTTCACTGTGAAATTCAGAGCACTGGGCAGAAATCGCACTACCTTAAGAGAGTCCTTGACTCCCGCCATTTACCCGCGTTTGGTTGACTTTTTTCACTTTGACATTCAGAGAACTGGGTAACACAGGAATTGAACCACAATTCTTATAAAGCGTGACTTACAAGAGTATTCAGGGTTTGAGTATGTTAATTGAAACAATTTTGGAACCTCACCACGTTATTACAGTCAATGTCATCCCTGCGGCGTAATTTCCATTGCAAAAGGCTCCATCGTTAGGCTGCCATGTCCATAGCGCATCAAATTTTCAAAATTTTCTACAAGCTTTACACAAGCCATCTAGTGTAAAATGTTTCAAAGAGCCCATTTCAATAATCCGATCTCACAGAAATCTATTTGTATTGTGTCCATCCACTTGGCTGGTATGTCTTCATATGGAAAGCATAAATACCGTTTCTTTCTTCAGCTGCTTGAGGTATGCAACGGTTAAGCAGAGATGTCATTGAAGCAACATGTTTACACGTGACTTCTAGAGATCCTTTTGATTATGTTGCGTACTGTTCCGTGGGAAATGTCGAAGACTTCTACCACTGACTTTTGTGCTAATGGACTCTTACCTTTTAACAATACGCTTCACTTTGCTTACCACGAAGGGGTGTGACTTGCTGCAAGTCTCATTGGGGATGATCTTGGTACCTCAAGCTGATCCATATTACTTTGTTTTCCAATGCCATTATGTTCAACTTATATATTTGTCTTGGAACTTCTAAATACTCCATCTAAACATATCTTTATTATTTGCATGTATGGATATTTTGCGATTAAAAGGGCTATTACATACCCTTCGTAAAAACGATAAATTTTCGGTGATATTCTACTGCCTAAAATCGCCAAATAATGTCAAATGTAATTATGACACATTCTTTTCACTGCGATCCTATATCAGCTATGATTGTCACGTGACTTGCTGATTTGTGTATTTGAAATTGTTTTAATATTACCTGCTAAATTCTCTATATATATTTTCAGAGCATCAGTCACATCAGTCGTTCTTCTACTCATTTCAATTTGTATAAACTCGTTTAATTTCCCTTTGTGGCTTTCGATACGATATTCTACATTTAAAAGTACTAATATATGTCTTGTTCTTTATAATCTGTAGACGTAAACACTTCTTTTTATATTTAAATCAAGCTCATATGAAACATTTGCTGATCATTTTAACAATGTTGATATTTCTAAATTTATTCAGTTTACGTATGAGATTGAACAACGTAATTATTTACCTTTGTAGATGTACTCGTTAAAAGAAATAGTGATGGAACTATTTCCACAACTGTTTAGTGGAACTCATATTCAGTCTCCATGCCGCCACATCAAAGGTCGTGTCATCCATTTTCTCAATAGGCCCGGCATGGCCAGGTGGTTAATGAGCTCGACTCGCAATCTGGGGGGCACGGCTTCGAATCCCCGTCACACCGAACATGCTCGCCCTTTCAGCCGTGGGGGCGTTATAATATGACGGTAAATTCTACTATTCATTGGTAAAAGAGTAGCCCAAGAGTTGGCGGTTGGTGGTGATGACTAGCCGCCTTCCCTCTAGTCTTACACTGGTCAATTAGGGACGGCTAGCGCAGATAGCCCACGTGTAGCTTTGCGCGAAATTCAAAACAAACAAACATACAAACCAATTTCTGAAAAACTAGCAGCTTTCATGCTTATGTAGAGTAAGCATTGAAATTTTGTTCTGATTCTACTAATTTCAAAAACCAATTAAATTATATAAAAAGCATTACTAACGACAAAGGCTATAATGCTGATATCATTGAACGTATAATACAAATAAAATACAATCTAATTTATAATCAAGCAGTGT